TCATTGAGGCCACACTGGGAGGGTGCTACTACAGCCTGACTCCTCTTCCTGTCAGTTGGCAGCCTTTCAAGCAAAAAAAACTGTTAGAGCGTCGTGAGGGTTTCGAAACTCGTCAGAGTTTTTGTAGTGAGGAATGATCTGAAGCGTCCCCTGTCGACCTCTCTCTTCCCTCTCCAACGCGGCAGTCCGCTCTCGAAACCGGTCAGACATCTGACGCTGGAAATGGGCGGTGCGTCAAGAGTCGGCGCCTAGGAGTGCCGCTACACTCCCTCACATGCGGCATTCGTTTAGGGGTACCTTTGAACAACAGACAGATAAAACTGATATGTCGATGAGCATTGAGAGGTGCAAAAATGTGGATTCTACGAAAACGGCAAGCTATTTGATAGAATAGAATTGGTTCAGTATATCACATCTTGGGTACCGTCAGCCCCCTTTGAACACGGGATGACATGTTCTAATAACGCCCTTGCCCCAGACGTTGAGTCTCCTTCCTCTCAGCACGAGATCTACTGCTTATTTAGTTAGTGTCCTGTGTGCAGCCTTGGTTGTACAAGGTCTTCCAGTTGACCGCGCTGAATTACTTCAATCAGATTATTTTCTCAGAAACATGAAGCAGACGAAATGAATAAAAATGAGAAAGTGAAAAAGTCAAACTTGGTCTAGCTGGCGCGACAGGACAGACATTGACAGCCAGACTATTAGCGTGTGAGCGGGCGGCCACAGTGGGTTTTGAGCCGGGGGGAGAGGAGGGGCGACCACTTACAGCTCCCTGTGCTGGCGGAGGAGGAGAGAGAATGGTAGGTTGGTGGGACTGCCGGCGGCTGGATTAACGACCGTTGACGGGGGATGGGCCACGGCTCAGCGAGCCGTGATCGTCGGCACTCATAATGGCTGTCTAGGCCAACATGGCGGTTGATACTGCCCGCATTGGAGTATCATACCCCACGGGCGAGAGAAATCCCAGAACCATTATACACCACTGCGGACAGTATCAACCGCCACGTTGACCCAAACGCCCATTTTGTGGGCCTATGATCGCGGCCTTATTGAGCCGTGCCCCATGACGCATTAACGTCCGCTAATCCAGTCACCCGCAATTCCACTAACCTACCATTATCCCTCCCCCTCCTCTCCTCCCCACTCAGAACCACCGTGACCTTCTGCCCACCTCACCCCGCTCACACGCTAATGGTCCGTTTGTCAATGTCTGTCCTGTCGCGTCCACTAGTCTAGGTGTGACTGGCTCACTTTCTCTTTTGTCTTCTTTGCGTCTGACGACTGTTTGGTGTCACGAACTTGTAAATTCATGAATGCAACTCGATTTTTCCAAAGAACCTCTTCCTTTTTTCATTATACCAGCTCGGAACGCATACCACCTCTGGTTTAAAACATGAGGCAGTTTGAGCCGGTCGTGTATTTCATCAAGTCGCATTTTTTGAAAAAAAAAGCCTACTGGCGAGGAAAACCTTTGACGACATTCCGATTGCCGCCTTCAGTAGCATATATAATGAGTAGTTGACGCAATGAATATGGAAACCTTCAATTCATTAGCAGATCACTGTGCGGAAACAGCAAGGCCATAATTCGAAGTACGGACCAATCGATGAAGGTACCCAAAATTCACGTCTCCCCCAAAACATCACTGGTTTTGGCGCATATCGCCGATGCACACGGATGGCGAGAAGAGATTACATGCCGGGGATGTCACCGCAGAAGCGGATTATTACCGGACTAACATTGTAGATGCTAGTCAGAAGCCCAGACACGTGCTTTGTCGATATTCTGCCGCCCACCATTCCCCTGTACTTTCCGGCAGATTCTCTAGTCCTGTTCGGCACATACTGCAGATTCAAACGGATGGCGAGAAGAGTTGGCATCCCGGGGATGTCACCAGAAACGAAGGTTATTATACACATGTTGCACGATTTACCAAACTGACAGTGAACGTGCTAGCTAAAAGCTCGGACACGTGCTCTGCTCATTTTCTGCCGTTCACCGTTCCCATGTGCCTTTCGGCAGATAATCCAGTCAAGCGAATAATTCCAGAAATCACTCTGTGCAGGACATGGAGTTAAGTCTCCGGGACATGACATTTTAGAGTCAGACCCGAAATGTCAATGAACATTCGAGTCGAAGACAATCAAGTACTGCGGAATAACCACGTAATGTCCATTATACTAACAAGTAGTACTGCGAGTAGTGTGGGCTGTATATGGCGAAAGTATTATACCGTACTCCCGACAGGGGTACTAACTAAAAGCCCAGACACGTGTTTTATCGATATTCTGCCGCTGTGTGACACAGCCACGAGGGGTTCGGCTCTTCAGTGGGTCCCTCAGCGTTCCCCATGCGGTTTCTGGTATAGGAACTTCAGAGGAGAATCAAGCGAATAATTTCAGAAATTATTCAGTTCAGGACAGGGAGGTAGGTTTCCGGGATACGACTTTTTAAGGTCAGACCCGAAATTTGAATTTTACACTTTTTAATGCCCTCAGCAATAAATCACCTAGTTCGGAGTAAATCAGTCAAAACTGAGCATTGGAGGCCCAGTCCCAAATCCGCTAGGAGCATTTGCGCCTGCATCCAGTCTGTGAATCTTTAGGGTCATCTTTCCAAGCACTCATAATCTAATATCAATCTTCAGGCACACGATAAGACGCGTAATATAGTATGGTTTGTTTTAGGAGGGGAAAAAAGAACGTAGAACGTGGGGCAGAAGAAGGGGATCGATTAATCCAACAAAAGGTTAACTTCACAGTTGTCCACGGAAGGTGGATTTGGGAGCTGACACTGGGAGGGGGGAGTCGTTTTCTTGGCGCACCTCGACTGGAAAACCGATATTGTCCAGACGCCAGGCACCCTTGCTCTTGTCTATTAAAACAAAACCGTCCATGTCTGTCCGCTACAGTATGAGCTGTAAATGGCAAAAGTATTATACCGTACTCCGGACGGGGGAACTAAAAGCCCAGACACGTGTTTTGCCGACATTCTGCCGCTGCGTGAGACAGCTGCGAGGGGTTCGGCTCTTCAGTGGATCCCTCAGCGTTTCCCATGCGGTTTCTAGTATATGATCTCTATAGAAGAATCAAGAGAAAAATTTCAGAAATTATTTAGTGCGGTCTCTGAGACATGACTTTTTAGGGTCAGACCCGAAATTTGGATTTTCAACTTTTTCATGTCCTCAGCAATAGATCGCCAAACTTGGAGTAAATGAGTCAAAAACGAAGCATTGGGGGCCCAGTCCAAAAGCTGATAGGAGTATTTGCACTTGCATCCGTCAGCACGCAATAGTCGTAAGCAGCCGCTAGGCAGCCAGTACTATACACATGTTGGGTGCCCCACCAAAGCTACAGGTTGCTATGTACAGGCTGGGCGAGTAATGGTCGAGGAGGATAGTGTGGAGACGGGGCAACGCTACGTAAACAACCGCGCCTGCGTTAAGCCCGTGTGCCGTGACGACTTTATGGCCGTATGCCCGTTTCGCCATAGCGAGATCCGGGACCAGGTCGTGTGTGTGGCACGCGTAGGCGCGCTTCTTCAGTCACTGCATCCAATCCCATTACCAGTTGGCTTGACGGGAGCGAGCCACGGAAGGAAAAGGCAGTTCTAAGGGCAAATTAACACAGTCCTCACTCCCTCTAGGTATGCCTCTTCTCATTCGCGGGCCAGTCCTTGAGTCTTGGCGAGACTTATTGAACAAATGGCCAATTGAAAATGTTACAGCGGCTTGACAGAACTCTATGTCGCAGTTACACACGAAGCGTGGAAATAAATGGATCCCCGAGGACGGGAAAAACTCCGGCGACCGGAGAAGTGGAACGGCTACCAGCCCATCTGACTGTCTGTTTCTTCCTGTTAGCAGTCCTTGCGCCACAAGCGAGAAAGGCAACCACTGACCTGGGGTGACAGCGGTGTTTGACGAGGGGATCTTGGTGAGCATGGCCCACACAGCATCGGTTTCGGCCTGTTTTTATGTCAAAACAAGGTCACAATGATTGGAGATGGGTGTGGACGCAGTGGGCGACGAAAGGGAGCTCAACTCTACGCGTGCCCCGCGCGCGCGCTGCCGTGTGCCCAAACGAGACATGCCGTAAAAGTTACACTGAGAGCCGTCGTAATTTGACCCCAAGGTTTGACTAGCCGGGTTGCCCAGTCAGCCGGAAACCTTCAGCGTTACGACTTTTAGCGTCTTGGTCTAATGGGGATATTAAGTGTCAGATCCGAGCTGGAATATCCCTCTCCTCTTTCCCTTGCACCAATAGTCCTCTGCCATCTGACTGTCCCAGTGGCTGAAGTGGCATAAAGCCAACTGACATAGACCCGCGCAGGCCAACTAACGCATGCCATGTGTCTCCATCTTGGCGCATCCCGTTTCTCGCACTCAAAAGGATGTGCGGCCTTGTTTACCGGAGGTCGGGAGAGCATATCTCACTTTTACAACAAAACATGCGAACAAGTGTGCATCCGCCAACCACTGGAAAAAAGTTGGAGTGCGGTCGGGCCGACTTCATGGGTAAAGTTAAGCACTTGCGTCAGGCAGCGACCTTTCCCAACCACCAGCGGCCATGTGATCATATTCGCCTTCCCGTTCAAGACCTCTGAATCGGAAGCCATAGGGGGAGGGCGTAAAGGCGCTTTCGGCAACAAAGGCGGTTCCACGAATCCGGTTTGCTACCTCAAGATTCCCAAAGCAGCAACAGGAAGCGGTCAGACCTTAAAAGTATATTAATCTGAATCTAGAAAATTAGTATGCACGAATACAGTGCATACATGTATATATACATACACACATACAAATGCGTATACATACCAATCAATGCTTTTCACAATACAGTTAAACATTATGACAAAGATAAGACAAAACAGATGACCCGTAAATGCAACCAATTTTACACAATAGCGCACGATCTGAGCACCTGGAAAACATCTATACGTCAAAGTCACACCAGAAGGCACACAAAACAGGGGGCGCGCGGGGCAGGGGGATAAATGCATGGTCAGGGAGCAGGGTCCACGGAGCGCCGTCGCTTCAGGTAACGCATAGAGCGCCCGCTGGGTTCTGTCTGCGTTGCCTCCAAAGTAGCCACGGTCGCATCTGACGCTGCCGTCCGATAGTCTGGCGAGGAGAGAGAAGTGGAGAGGGAGTGGTCGGACAACAGGGTCCCGTCTGCGCCGACTGCTGCAGGAGAGTCATCTTCAAGGAGGGTTTCTGCAGCCTGCTGAAGACGTCTTTGTATCAGTCGGCGTGAGGACCACTTCTCAGGAGAGACGGCACTGTAGGTGCAGCCCTTTTGGAAGGGCGGTCTGCTCAGGGCCAACTCGGCCAGATCGAGGCCTGTGGCGACTTCGTTACTTAGCAGGTCCGAGACGTCGCGTCTGACCTAAATGAGGAGTTTGAAAGAAGGAGTCAACTTTGTGGTCGTTTAGCAAGAATGCGTTTCGAACAGCCCTGTCATTTTTTGCTCGTTCAAGTGAAAGCATGAATGAATAAAGAGCAGACGAGTTACGTAACCAGAAGCGAGATTATTATGCAGGAAACAAAAATTTGGGGGAATTCCGAGAGATCAGGTGTATTTGTTCGACGTTCCGGATACGCGCCTAACCTCGTCAGTAAAATGTAAACATTATCTTATCAGTAGCCCAGTTCTTAGTTCATAGATGTGTCTTCATTTCGGACATCTGCGCAGTGCCCCGTAGGTGCACGGGAGGTCTACTTGACGACTAACTGAGTTAGCATCCGAAAGTCGGGATGTCCACAGTCTGCAAGCAAGAATTTAAGACGTCAGACAAGTACACTCACTTTTCCCGAAAACTTTAAAAGCCCAAAGGACAACAACTACACCGTGAAGGGAGTTCCTAATTCAGTAGCTTTCACTACTCTGTCCCACGGACTTGGCGTGTATGCCCCCAGACGGCAGGCGTCTTCATAAAACAAAGTGGGGGGAGGGGAGGGCGTTGGCCTACGGATAAATTCAAATGAAATGAAAACCTGCGTGTTCTGAGTAAATAGCCTGCTTTCATTGAGGAGAAAATTCTGTGAAAGTGTACTTTTCAGCCGAACTGCTGTGCTTAAGTGAAAAGTCCATTCTCCCTCTGAGTTCTACAGGGTAACTGGTTCACCAGACAGGCGGTGTGACTGACGCGTTTTTTTTTTAAATTTAGCGTAACCACTGGAGTCTTTCTGTCGGATCTACCCAGTCTTTGCTAGTCTTGCGATGGGACTTGAAAATTAAGTTATTCTCGAGTGCTTTTAAGACAGGACTTATGCGGACTAGGCATCCTGGCTCCAACCGCCATATTTGTCATCTGGTTCACTTTGAGGTTGGGAAACTATACCGGTGTCACATCGGCATCGACGGGCTATTACTGACTTCAAGGGAAAACGTCATGCCTGACAGCTTCTGAGTCAACGATGAGAGTCCTCAAGGTCCCTCCATTAGATTTGTTCAAACCCACTTAAGGTAACGATCAAATAATCAATGGTCCCGTTTGCCGAACGCCGAGATCGCCCACAGATCAGCCGGGTCGCGCAGCGGTAGAACAGGGCTACTTTGAACGCAGGCTCATACATTCGAATATATGCATTGGGGGCAGGAGGTATGCCACGCTTTGCATCCGACATGGGTAGCCGAGGGGAGCTGCTATAAACAAATCGGTCGAACAGTAACTTGGCCTTCGCAGAAAACCCTTTTGGACAAAATTTGAGGAGGCGATTGGGGTGGAGAGTGTCTCTTCAAAGAAACTACAAGCAACCAAAACCAAGGAAACAGTCGCCTTCTGTTGACAAAGAAGTGTCTCCACCCCAAGATCCATAAAAGTTTGCATAGCTGGTCGACGAAACCGGTGCATGGGGAAAAGCAGCCTTCACCATGCCTTGCCCAGACCTTCATAGAGAAGCGAAATCGGTTCAGGAGGGTAATTGCGAAAACCCTTATGACAACGTTGAGGGTACCTGTGTTGCTCTAATGATGACATCTCACTCTGACCTTCGTTACTAAAAAAAGGAGGCAGAACACCTCCTCGATCCTCTGAAAGACTCGGCGTTGAACGCACGCTGAATAAACTTCCCACAAATAAGACTACAACAACTCTCATCCCCAGCATTCTGGTGTTTCAGGGGTGCCATACTACTGATGGAATTTTAGTAGTGGACGGTAGCAACCAGTGCCAGAGAAGGGCTTTGCAGAATCTGTTGGCACAGCCCTCGCAGGGTGTATGGAGAGACAGTGGACTGACAAAATGGGCAAATTGCCCTCGCCAGCGTCTCAATCGCACACACAGAGACGTAACAAACTGGCCCGTAAGCATTTCAAGATACGGATGCTGGTCTTATGCTGAAAGGACGGCTTTTAGCATGCATGAATGCACAGCGACGACAGTGGATAGGCACGAACCCTGTCACTAGAATAATAATCAGAATCAAATGCACCAGTCATCTGAAGAACGACGAGTTGATTCTCTTACATTGCAGCCTTCGGGGGAAGAGATCAGTGCTGTGTCTAGGCAGGAGAGAACGTGTACGCCCGCCACGTCCGAAAGCATTTGCCACCAGGTCGCGGACACGAAGAACTCGCCCTGGGTGGAGGGGAGGAAAGCGAGTTCAGAATCACTGGCCTCAGCATCACTCTCGAGGCTCTCATGAGATCCGCGTATATCAGACGTGGGAGAGATCAGGACAGGTACGCGGGCATCCACGAGGAGGTCGTCCTTCGAGATAGCCTCCAGCTGGGGTTCGAGGTCATCGGTGATTGTGTTGGAGGCGAGGGTCCACTTGGAGACACTGAAGGTGAGGAGGTCGGCAGCGTCAGTCTCGCCCTGATGGGAGCAGAGACTTCGGGTAAGGTGACGATGCGCCTCATTCGCGATCTCCTGTTCACCAGCGGCCCACCAGTTTTCAGCTGCCGGTCCAAATAACTGGGTCTGCAGAAGGCCTACGTCGTCACCTTTAGTTGACTGAAGGAAAAGTAGACGCATTTCAGTCACCTTCATGAGGAGGGGGTTACGCGGTCGGAATTGATTAAATACACAAAATATGAATATCGTCCAAAGTTGTAGTGAGTTCTCAGAGGAAAAGAAAGCTTCATGGGGCGGAGAAAACGACGGAGTAATTTAGTTTTATAAAATTATGCAAAAGACCAGAAATCATAACTCCAGTAGTTTTCAGTTGTTTGTCCAAACTGGCGAAGTCAGGAGGTGATGTTGGTGCTGATTCTGTTGTGTTGTTGTTGTCGATGATGGTGGTGGTGGTGGTGGTGGTGGTGGTGGTGGTGGTGGTGGTGGTGGTGGTGGTGGTGGTGGTGGTGGTGGTGGTGGTGGTGGTGGTGGTGGTGGTGGTGGTGGTGGTGGCTGAAGAGCGATAAAGTCCGAAGTTAAGGGAGTTAAGCGTTAAAGTGGAGTTGTGCAATCGAGTCTCAGAGCTGACGCTTCATATGTGTATTTAGTCAGAAAGTAACGCCACCTAACGCACCTCACAACACCTGTAACTCCGTGTCAGTCCAACGCCCAATCCGAAGGACGTCAAAAAATAGCTCTAGGTCCAAGCTAAGTAAACTGGACGACCAGGCTGTCAATACATGTTGGCTCAAATTCCGTACTTTATTTCGTACACGTAGGCGGTGGTTAGGGCGATTTTGTGCAACAGTGTGTGGCGAAGAAAAAGTCTTAACATCTGTGGACGAAGCGAGATGAACAAGGGATGAGTAATAAAATGTTCCAATGAACTGCCATAAAAAGGTCATAAATCTGCTTTTGTAAGACAGGTAGTTAGCTAGTAGAGTAACGAAATAGCCGGAGAACGCCCCGGATAT